ATCTAATTCCAGCAATCCAGTACAATGTCCCAAGAGGGAAATCTTCTCTTTGAATACAGTCACAAGCTAATGCAAGCACAGAATTGCAGATCTAGCAGTCACTGAGAAACCTCTCAAACATAGAATCCTAAACTTGTGAAAGACATGAATAGGGAAAAGACACAAAATCAGAACATTCATGTCACAGATTAGTCTTCACATCCAGTAATTGAAGTCTGGTAGAAGATCAGAGCTGACACATGTCTAAGCTGTGTACAGATTCCAGCAGAAGGATAGTCAGGGAATAAAGTGTAGACATTGCAGCAATATCCAGGCTGGGGGGGAGTGCAGAGCCAAGCAGACACAATCAGACAGAACAAGTCTGATACACATTGGCATCTAGGTAGACAAGGCAAGAAAGAGGAGGGGGTATAGGACAGTCTGGACTCGAGTTTGGCATGTTGTGATGCATGAGCCAGGTTATAAATGTCTGGCTTTTTAAGATAGTGAAAAGTAGGGTGAGGGGACACAGCTCAGAAAACAGTATGAGAATGGCACAGAGGGGACAGATTGGGCATCAGTGGAAGAAAAAGGAGAGAGTATAGAAGAAGAAAAAGGGTGATAGAAAGAGAGAGCACGGAGGAAAAGAACAGACATACACGCAGAGAGCATGGGAATAAGGAAGCAGGACAGAGAATGGGGACAGCAGCCATGCACAGAAGTAGAAAGGGCAATAGAAAAAGATATCTGGGGGACAGGGCAGAGAACGGGGGACAGGGCAGAGAACGGGGGACAAGGGAACAGGGCAGAGAACGGGGGACAGGGGAACAGGGCAGAGAGGAGGATACAGCTATAGACAGTCACAACAAAGCTGACATCTAAATGAAGCTGTGACAGCAAGGGACAGGTTGGGAAGGTCAGGGAGGGTCAGGTTGGGAAGGGCAGGTCAGGGAGGGACAGGTTGGGCCATAAAGACAAGTGACCAGGATCCAGGCCCTAGGAGGTGAGCAGGGCAATGTACAGGAGTCAGAGAAACACTGAGCTGCTGTGGAACTACAAGTCCCAGATAGGCCATGAGCCCCAAGCACTGACCTCTGAAGTAAGGTGCTGGGGTATGTTACAACAGGAATATTGGACTGTGGTGGTAAGATGTCCCCCTGAGAAGCTGGGGGTCAGTGATGCTGCCTAGCACCTATGGTAGGGGTATGGACAGGCCAAGCAGCCAAACTCTGGGAGGAGCTGTAAGAATGGATGGGGAGCAGATCTAAACATTGATCACCTAGGCAAAGGCTTTTATGGAACTACAACTACCAGCATGCCTCCAGCAACAAGGCCTGATCTGTGACCTACACCCTAAGGGTCCAGTATGTTCCCTGTGCTCAGACCACTGGCCTCCTGAAGGAAGGGAACCTGCTGGCACACATGAGCTGGCCTAGTGAGTAAACATTACAGAAAATTCCGGGCAACAAGCACTTAATATCATCACACTCACCGTCCACCGTCTTCTTCTTGAACAGGGAGGCCATGGCTGCGGCCGCTCGTTCTATTTCCTCATTCACTCTGCAACCAGGAACCGGTTACACCGCTGCGCCCCACCACGTGACCAGCCCTCCGTCCCGCACAGCCCCTCCCACCCCGTGACGTTCCTGTCGCCCTGGAGGTTCCGCCCACTTCTCCTCCGAAGAAATGTGAGCGGCTCCCCTCTCACCTGTCTGGTTGCGTTCCGTTCTGTATCTGAGCCGTCCCAATGAGCGATAACACAGAGAGCCAATCAGTTCCCGTCCTGAGGGACTCACCTTATTCATTATCTGGTGATTCATGAATGTACACAGGCCGTAGCGCAGTACACAATTCTGCTGGGAAAAGATGATGATGATGACGTAGGCGCCTATGGTGTCATAGTTTCTGCTGTCCCTGACCGGTGACACCTGTCCATGAAATGCCCTGGTTTCCGAAAGTGACTTTTGTCTTAACCACTTGATGACCGGGGTATGGAACCCCCTTCCTGTCCAGCCCACTGTTCAGTATTCAGCATTGCAGTACTTTGACTGACATTAATTCTCTCATGCAATGCTGTACTAAAATTAGTTTTATATCTTTTTTTGGGGACAGATCTAGCTTTTTTGGTGGTATTTAATCACCACTGCTTTTTTTTATATTTGTTACTACAAAAAGAAACATCCCGAAAAATGTAAAAAAAACAAACAGTTTTCACTAAGTTATACTATGAAACATTCATTACCCATTTTTTTTGTAAAATCTAAAAGACGCGGTCACGTCGGGTAAATGGACACCACACACGTCAAGCCTTAAAAGTGCGTGCGGTCGCAAAATTGCAGGAAACAACCACACCCAAAATTGGCCATAGGTGACACTTTAAAAGTTTTCATTGCTCATGAGTTCTGTGTTAACATTCATTAATGGCCCTGAAATTATTGCTCTCACTCCGACGTTTGCAGTTAAATGTAACATATGTGGTGCAACCAGTGGCGTCCCGAGGCTTGGTGTCACCCGGGGGCGGGGACCGGTTGACACTCCGCCGTGACATCATCATCATCCTAATTTTTTATATATGTATGTATATATATATGTATATATATATATATATATATATATATATATATATATATATATATATATATATATATATATATATATATATGTGTGTGTGGCTTTCATTTTTAAACTTTTTTTTTACACTTAACTTTATTGCTATCACATAGGGGGCTAACAAGCCGGCAGCAGCAGAGGGAGGGGGGCGCACACTTCCTGCACCCTTCCCGTCACCCTTCCCTCATCATGCAAATAATAAAGTGGCTCTATAGCCGCCCAAACGCTTGTATGTATCAAAGGCTTAAATTCTTCAAACTTTCCTGCTCCTGATCAAGCACAGGGAGTGTGGGGGGGACGCAGCACGTAGGAACGGGAAAGGACGTTTATAAACTGGCAACCAATCAATAAAGGTCAATTTTATGTTCATTTTTTCTATTGTCTGCTTATTTCTTTTGTATTTATAAGCTCTAACGAGGAGGACCTTCCTAAGAGCTCATTCCCGTGGGCGCAAATTCAGGCCTATGGGCATACAGTGTAAAATACAACTAATTGTAGCGCCCGGGACCCCCAGCTGTTGTGTTTTTACCTCCATAGGATTGTATAGACACAAGACGTTGCACGTGGAAATAAACGTGTAAATGCAAGTAGCAGTGTTTGCTCATGTATGGGAGTACATTCCCGAATGCAAAACTTCCATGTCCAGGAACTTACAACTGTGTGCGTGCGCGTGTAAACGCTTATACTTACATTTACATGCATTTGGCGAATTGTATCTATACAATCAAATGCTCTGGAGAAGTTTCCCCCCCGCATTACTTACCGTTATGTCTCAAGTAGGTGGGTGCTGTAGTGACTCCGGATGGCGCCGCCGTACTCAAAGCAGAAGTTTATCACCAGCACACCAATGGTTAAATGTCCAAATGTGGTCCATTTGATCAACAGAGACTCATCTTGTCCATAGCGACGTTTTGGGGCCTCGCAGGGTCCCTTCATCAGGTGGTATTACAACTACAGACTTAAATACATGTATCCCAAGTGAAAAAAAAATCAAAAAACGTCACCCCCACCTCCCCAACATCACTTTTTTCACTTGGGATACATGTATTTAAGTCTGTACAAGCAGTCCCTGAGTTACAAACATCCGACTTACATACGACCCTTACTTACCAACAGAGGATATTACTGTACAGCAGGGGGCCCCAGGCAGCAGCCAAAGTGTACCGCGCAGCATTTCAGTAGTTGTAATGCTACAGCGCTCGTGCCGACGAGGAGTGCCCGCCTTTTTGGGTCTGGATCGTAGAACTGTACGTACATTACAGGAAGCTGGCTCTTGTTAGACGTGCAGACAAGGGGTGCCTGCCTCTTCTTCCGGGTCACTGTGAGGTTTTTACTGCTGTCTGTATCTTCATTAGAAAAATTTAATCTCACTTCCTGTTCTTGAGACAACAGGAAGTGAGAAGAAATCTACCCCTAGGAAGTGAAATTCACTCCTGTAAGAGTTATCATCGGAAAAAGGTGTCTCCACTGAAGCTTTATCACCAATTCTTGTTTCCACGACAACCCAAAATTCTCAAAATCCAATTGTCATAGGGACAGAAAGTGAGGTGAAATCTTCTGAATGGGGCACACACAGCAAAACAAACGTTACAGAGGGTTAACCCTTCCCTATGGTATCCAATGGTATCCTTTGGTATGGCATCCAAAAATAAAATAATAATTTTTGGGCTGGAGTTACACTTAAAAAATGTACCTGTTCCAACTTACATACAAATTCAACTTAAAGGAGAACTATGAGATGAGTGATTTCCACTCACCTCATAGTTCTAGCCAACCTGTGACAATGAGACTGTCACAGGTCGGCTCAGTAGATCGGGAGGTGAGCGAACACATACCAGGTTCGCTCACCTCTCTATCCTGTCACGGCTCTCTGCCGTGACAGGGGGAGGGGCTGGATTCCCCTCTCCCCGCTCCGATCTGCCAGCGCTGACTGGCGGAACGGACGGGGGAGGGGGCGGGTACAGCTGGCTCTGCCACTAGATAGGCAGAGCCAGCTGTCACTCACACAGCTGGGCGGATCCTGTCATCTATGTCGGGATCTGCTCCGGCTGCGGCGTCTCAGTATAGCGCGAGCTGCAGTCATGCCTGTGGCTGTCAGAATCTTTACAATGCCTCATGGGACTTGTAGTTTTCCCACAACTAGAGGGTCGAAGTTTGGCTACCCCATGCCTAACACAAGGGTTGGCAAATTGTGGCCCTCCAGCTGTTGTGGAAATACAAGTCCCATTAGGGCGCTGCAAGACTGACAGGTACAGACATGACTTTCAAAGGCAGAGACATGTTGGGATTTGTAGTTAAAGCACAGCTGGAGGGCCGGAGTTGCCCACCCCTGGCCTAACACATGCTCGCATGCTAAAAGTTCTATTTTAGTGTGCAGTCTGGTGTCCATTCTGTAAGACACACGACACTGTTTAGCTTTTTTTTTTTTTATTGACATTTCTTCCTTAAAATTTCGTGCGCCTGTGAAACTGCGAAAAACGTCAATACCCAAAATTCTCCATAGGCAACGTTTTAAAAGCTTTTAGTGTTACCAGTGATTGATGGCCCTAGAATTATTGCTCTCACTCTGACTTTTGCGACAATATGTAACATGTGTCAAGTGTGTAGGCGCATCCGACGCGTTTTTGATTTGTATGTGCGTGGGGGCGGGGCCTTTTTTTTGCATTTTTTTTATATGTTACTTAAGTTTTTGGTTTTTTTTTACACTCAACTTTATTGCGATCACAGAGGAGGCTAACAAGCCCCCTATGCAACATGTGACATGACCTTTTTATAGAGACATCAGGGGTCTTTTCGGAATTCTAATGTCACCTTTGGGACCTCAAAGAAGCTGATGAAGCAGAGATCTGCTTCACCAGCTACTTCTTCTGGCTCTAAGAGCCGAAAAATGTGCACAGTGACACCGGAAGTGATGTGATACACATCACTTCCGGTCCAGTGATCGGAGGAGAGATCACCTAGCTAGCATCCTGAAAAAGTCAGGCAGTGTATTAAATCTTTACTCTCATGAAGAGCTCCAAACAGAGTGGCTTAGAGGGAGGAACCACAGTGCCTAGTATGGGACATGCTATTCACAAATGACTTACGCTGATGAGCTCTTACTGCAGACTCTCCCCTAATGATGTGCAACAAAGACACAATGTCAGCCACTGGGGAAGAGGAGACTGAGGAAATGCTTTTTCCTGCCTGCAGCAAACTTTATCAGCTCAGTTAAGGAAAAGTAATTCGCTTGGAGCTGCACAATATACACAGTATATTACAATGTCACAATATATTTCAGTATATTGTGACATGTTCCTGCACACTTGTATAGCAACCCTACCCTAAGCAGGAGTGTCTAAATTTAGAATTTGCCAGTCTAGCCTAATTAATAGTTTAGCTTTCTGGAGTCTCTCCTAAGCTCTTATTATTTGCTTCTGCCTGCTGGTGGGGAGTGTCAGTGGCAGTAGTGCGGAAGGTTTATTGCCAATGGTGCAGGCTGGGAGAGGGTATAAATATTCAAGAATTACCTTGGGAAGTCAGTCTTCCCTTGGGCCTCCTGTCTGGAGGCGGGACGCTGTTGAATGTCTGATCCTTCTAGGCCTGCTGCCTAGGGAGGGTGACCAATGCGCTTGGACAGAGGCTAGGTTTTGAGGCCTGGTATGTTAAGTCTGGGGATTGAGATACCATGGAGGAACCTCAGCCTGAATCAGTAACCTGAGAATCTGGGCAGAAGCTTGGTCCTTGACGGAAGTATAGTAATTCCTTCACATGGAGTTTGTAGCAGAACCATGGGGTATCCTGCTGCCAGGAGCTGATTTCACAGAAAGCTGGGTTGGTTTAAAGGTTCTTTGTCTGTGTAGTTTGAAAGTACATATTGTCTCTCTCTTTTGGAGTCTGCAAGTCCATGGTTGTCATGTGCCCAACCCTCTCTCCCAAGAGTTTTGAGTTTTGAGTGAAAGTCAGTAAACTTCTTGTATGCATTAAAACTGGCTGGCACCTGTCTGTAATAGACCCTGTAACAGAGGCCCAGACCC